TTTTGGATTTATCCATCCTCATCCTCTCTATTCCCAATTTTTCTCTACAAGGATTTCTACTCTGAGCAGCACCGTGTCCCTCATCCAGGTGACAGGAAACACCCAGACTGCCCTTTCCCAGTGCAGGGTTTCAGGGGATTCTTTGTTCTTCGGGAATTTTGGATTTCTCCATCCTCATCCTCATCCTCTCTATTCCCAATTTTCCAGTACAAGGATTTCTGCTCTGAGTGCCACAGTGTCCCTCATTCAGTTGACAGGAACCACCCAGCTCAGGCTGCTCAGGGTTTCAGGGAATTCCTTGTCAGGAATTTTGGCTTTATCCATCCTCATCCTTTTTATTCCCAATTCTCACCCTTTGTTCTCCAGTACAAGAATTTCTGCTCTGACCAACACTTGTGTTCCTCATGGAACCCCCCAGACTGCCCCTTCCCAGTGCAGGGTTACAGGGAATTCCTTGTCCTTCAGGAATTTTGGCTTTATCCATCCTCGTCCTCTCTATTCCCAATTCTCACCTTTCATTCTCCAGTACAATAATTTTTGCTCTGAGCTCTGCAGTGACGTCGAGTGACTGGAAGGGCTTGGACTGTCCCTTAAGGGCCATTTCCCACCATCCCAGGCTGCTCCAAGCCCTTTCCATCCTTTCCTTGAACACTGCAGGGATGAGACACCACAACCTCCCCCTTTCCCCCTCCGATATCACACCACCCTTTAATTTTTAAATTCATTTCTCTGAGTGCTGCCACATTCCCTGCAGTCACAGCTCTGTTTTTTGCCCCCCAGGTTGGCACCGGTGCCACGGTGGCCACGCTGGCCGACGCCTCCGAGCTGCCCACCACGGTCACCGTGGCACAGGTCAATTATTCTGCCGTGGCTGATGGAGAGGTGAGTGCCTGTCTTGGTTTTTTGGGGTGCTGGGTGGGCTCCCATCAACATCTCAGGGGTCCCAACCTGCAGAGTTAATGGCTAACACAGACCACAATATTATAATTTTATACAGAAAGTGCTAAATTATTGTTATTTCAACTCAAAGCCCTACAAACACAATTACAATAGAAACCTTACGTCTGAATTCCTTTTTATTTTATTTATTTTTTTTAGTATCTCCTATAGATTATTTATTTTATATTTTTGTTCAACATTTTTACTTTTGGCATTTCCCAACTCTGACCGCTCCCAAGTGCTGAATTGTTGCTATTTCAGCTCAAAGCCCTACAAACACAATTACAATAGAAACCTTACATCTGAATTCCTTTTTATTTTATTTATTTTTTAGTATCTCCTATAAATTATTTTTTTTATATTTTTGTTAAGCATTTTTACATTTGGCATTTCCCAACTCTGACCGCTCCAACTTGCAAACATTTATTTTCCCACTTTTTAAAACTCAAATAACATGTAAAAAACAACACAATGTTTTCTGCAGCCTTAAGAAACATTCCCACATCTGAATTCCTTTTTATTTTTTTTTTTAGTATCTCCTATAGATTATTTATTTTTTATTTATGTTCAGCATTTTTACATTTGGCATTTCCCAACTCTGACCGCTCCAACTTGCGAACATTTATTTTCCCACTTTTTAAAACTCAAATAACATGTAAAAAACAACACAATATTTTCTGCAGCCTTAAGAAACATTCCCACATCTGAATTCCTTTTTATTTTTTTTAGTATCTCCTAGAAATTATTTATTTTATATTTTTGTTCAACATTTTTACATTTAGCATTTCCCAACTCTGACCTCTCCAAAGTGCTGAATTGTTGCTATTTCAACTCAAAGCCCTACAAACACAATTACAATAGAAACCATACATCTGAATTCCTTTTTATTTTATTTATTTTTTTTAGTATCTCCTATAAATTATTTATTTTTTATTTTTGTTCAGCATTTTTACTTTTGGCATTTCCCAACTCTGACCGCTCCAACTTGCAAACATTTATTTTCCCACTTTTAAAAAATCAAATAACACATAAAAAACAACACAGTTTTTTTCTGTGGCCTTAAGAAACATTCCCACATCTGAATTCCTTTTTATTTATTTATTTTTTAGTATCTCCTATAGATTATTTATTTTATATTTTTGTTCGGCACTTTTACTTTTGGCATTTCCCAACTCTGACCGCTCCAACTTGCAAACATTTATTTTCCCACTTTTAAAAACTCAAATAACACATAAAAAACAACACAATTTTTTTCTGCAGCCTTAAGAAACATTCCCACATCTGAATTCTTTTTTATTTAATTTTTTTTAGTATCTCCTATAAATTATTTATTTTGTATTTTGGTTCAACGTTTTTACATTTGGCATTTCCCAACTCTGACCGCTCCAACTTGCAAACATTTATTTTCCCACTTTCTAAGACTCAAATAACACATAAAAAACAGCACAATTTTTTTCTGCAGCCTTAAGAAACATTCCCACATCTGAATTCCTTTTTATTTATTTATTTTTTTAGTATCTCCTATAGATTATTTATTTTATATTTTTGTTCAACATTTTTACATTTAGCATTTCCCAACTCTGACCGCTCCAAAGTGCTGAATTGTTGCTATTTCAGCTCAAAGCCCTACAAACACAATTACAATAGAAACCTTACATCTGA